TTCCATTTCCGTTGTTGCGATAGAAAAAAAAAAGAGTCTTGGCAGTATCTGATTGACTCCCCGTGAGAAACGGGGGGCATTTAAGTTCTGTCGCCAATGCAACATCGGGCAGTCTCACGCCTGCACGAGTGAAAACTAGTGAGCTACAGCCCGTTTCGTTCCTCCTGCTGGCAGCAGGTCCAGAATAAGGGGCGGTACCAGTGCCAGCCCACAAATGTTCCAAATCGATTTCCCCCCACTACAGGCTCGGAAGAAAACGGCGCGCAGGTCGATTTCAGGCTCGGCATCAATAGCTGAGCGAAGTACTGGTGGTTTAAGGAGGTGGCGAAAAGCGACAGAAGAGCCCGGAGGTTGAAAGGAGAATGCGAGATTATGGGGCTTGCTCCACTACTCAACATTCTACATGCATCCGGACTACGATCTGAACCCCCATTCATTTGGAAATTTTCGATTTGGGACAAATCGACCCCGGTTCTGGATGCACCGGGCCCATAACCATCTCCTCTTGATTCATTTTCAGAATGGTGTGCAGTGGAGTGAGGCTCTTATGAGTCTTATCTCACATTGACTGTTATGTGAGTTTGCTTGTCCCCCCTTTGAGTCGACAATGGTCTACTTTCTCGCTCTTCACATTGCCAGTTGTCATCCAGAGAGCATTGTGAGTTTGGTTCATGATGTTGATGATGCGCGGCTGTATCGGATTTGCATTCGTCATGAAACCAATGATCTAAAGTGAGTATTGTGAATCATGGATCATGGGTCTCAGCCAGGCATTACTATTTGACAGTGGTGCTGTTCTATATAATGACACCGTTGAGTAGCTGGTGCGGGGTGCTATCAGAAATTATATGGTACGGGATAAGAGGAAGACGCACTAGTGACGGAGAGGTGACCTGGCCTGGGGAATTAAAAACCTGAGAGGCTCTTCCAACGACGCGCCCTTCTGGAGACCCACAATCGAAAGCTCTGTTCTTCCTGTGAGCTTCTGTGGCTGAACTGAAGAAAAGAGTATCTCCATTGGTCGTCTGGTCGGTTGGTATGATTGGACGGCGATTCTACCTCTTCGTCGGCGTGCCTACCTGCCTGTCTGTCTGTTTGTCGTCTGGTCTGCCTGCCTTCGTGCCTGCATAACTGTCTGTAAGTTTGTCTGTGTTACATACTTCAATGAGTATGGGCAGAACCAAAGATCAACCAATGTAGGATGAGCATATATGCAGCGGAAGTCTGATAAACGGACTGACTCACATAGACTGACTCACATAGATATCACTCCACACACATACAATCGTGAGATGGTGGGGTCTGAGCCATACATGGATGATGCTCAGCCCCATACACACATGCACAGATGAAGGTGGGAGGAGAGACGAAGGAGGTGGGAGATGTAGGTAGC